CCGTATACTATTGTAGTTGAACCATTGTTTATCGTTTATTAAACTGTCACTATCTGAAACACGCTGCCACATACCGTTTACTATTGTAGTTGAACCATTGTTTATCGTTTATTAAACTGTCACTATCTGAAACACGCTGCTACATACCGTTTACTGTTGTAGTTGAACCATTGTTTGTCGTTGATTAAACTGTCACTATCTGAAAAACGCTGCTACATTCCGTTTACTATTGTAGTTGAACCATTGTTTATCGTTTATTAAACTGTCACTATCTGAAACACGCTGCTACATTGCGAATGGACAGAGTTAGAGATAAATAACGTAGCAGAAGTAAAATTTAAATGTTTCTGTGAACAACATTGTTAGTGCCAAGACTGTATGCGCAAGAAATAAGAAATACGGGGTCATAAGTAACTAATTCTGTTACATAATTTCTGGACACACTTTACACAGTAACGACAAACGTGAACATACTCATTATCACTCGCAAAAAAGCCGTGTTCGCGGCATGATATTCAGGGTGTATCATAAGTAATATTTCTCTAGAACATGTATAGAAGAAATACATTTCCCGACAGGTTTGTTTGTTTTTGTTTTTGAATTTCGCGCAAAGCTACACGAGGGCTATCTGCGCTAGCCGTTCCTAATTTAGCAGTGTAAGACTAGAGGGAAGGCAGCTAGTCATCACCACCCACCGCCAACTCTTGGGCTACTCTTTTACCAACGAATAGTGGGATTGACCGTCACATTATAACGCCCCCACGACTGAAAGGGCGAGCATGTTTGGTGTGACCGAGATTCGAACCCGCGATCCTCAGATTGCGAGTCGAGCGCCCTAACCACCTGGCCATGCCGGGCCCTTGAAATGAGAAAAATGGTTTAGATGAAACCTACCAGTAACAGTGATATCTAGTAGGAACTGTAAAAGGATTATTACGAAAGTTTCACAGATATTTTACTTTAATAACTGACAAAGCAACGTACATTTGTATTTCTGTTATTATGCACACAGCAATAACCGTCTCTGCCCTTCAATAGCCCTAAAATTAACAATTTTATTAACAATAAATAAATGCACACACACACACACACACAAAAAAAACATCACAAGGATTAACTTTAAAACAAATTGCCACGAATGGCTAATTGCGGTATACATTTTTCCACGAAAAAATATTCTCTGGCTTTATTTTAATTTATTTACTTGTTGTTGTTATTGGTTTACGTTAAAGCATGAAATAATATAAGTGGAAATGTATAGTGTTATTCCCAAGCTTTATGAGTGTTACGGCATGATCATTAAGCTTTTACTGTCACGAAAAGGCCCTCTTGCAAACTTAATACGAGTATATTTTTTCTAGCACTATTATCTTCCATTCTTTGATATTTCTCTCTGCACGAAAGCATTTTTGCTTCCGCCAACGTGTTTCACCATTTTAAGAGCATGTCCATTGCTCTTTCGCGATTACCGTCATAAATAGAAAGTTAGAATTTACAACGAATAGTTACAGGGCCTCAAATAAAAGAAATTTGCATTAGAAAACGCCACAACCATTTATATTTTCTAACTAAAATAAACAGTTCTCTTTCTGATATTCGTTTGTTGTTTTTTTTCAATTATCTCTCAGCCAAATAAAATGCTTTTACACTGATAGTTTTCTTAGCATCCAGGAACATGTTCAGCTAATGCAAAAAATTCACTTCGATTTTCAACATTTCTCTTATGTTCGTTTACTCTGAATTTTAAATTTATTTCAGTTTGACCAATGTATACATTTCCACATTTACATTCAATTTTATAAATACCTGTTTTTCTTTCTTTTCATTAGAGTAATTACATCCTTAGTTTTATTTAACATTTGGCTAATTTTATTCAAAGGTTTGTAAATCGGAATAAAATTTTGACACTGCCTTTTAAATTTCTAAAAGATTTGGCAAGATAAACCAGGGATATATATGGCAAACATAACATTTCAGTTTTATTGATTTTTAATTTTTTAACCAAATTTCTTGTTAATCCATGACTTTGATGTTTACCTATGAGTCACTCATGAGAAAAACTAAACAAAAATATCGAAAATACTGCAATCAGTTCCCCTAATCACTAAACGGGCCCTCTGTGAATTTTACATGCAAAGTGAGTGATTTCACCCAATTTTTTGGCCAGTTCTTTACACTGAGGGTTCTTAAGGGCGAAACATAAAATTAATCAATATTATGGACCCCCCAGTGGCACGGCGGACGAAACGCGGACTTACAACGCTAGAATCCGTGTTTCGATACCTATGGTGGGCAGAACACAGATAGCCCATTGTGTAGCTTTGTGCATAATTACAAACAAATAAATCTATATTATGCAGTATGTGGGCCCCACCAATAGCGAACGATAACAAAAAATAACTAGGTAATTTTAGGGTTATATTTTTTAGGCCAAATAAATATATTAGGTATACTTTCCATAGTATATGCAAGTTCTTTGATAACCAATTTGATGAATGATAACTCTGTTGTTGTTGGTTTTTTTGGGTTTTTTTTTCATATCTTTAAAATCTTGCATTCTAGTAGTCCATGTTGTTTTAAATGTTTTGCTGGGGCACTTTTGCTCAGTATTCTGTGTTCTAACTTACGTGATTGTGAATGTCTTTATGTTTAGCGTATATTTTCTTTACAAACATTACCTTTAATTTTGTTAAATCACATTTTTAAATAGGCATTTCTGACCTACACCATTCATTCTTGAATAGCAAGTGTTCTTGTCACGTAGTGATGGTGTGAAAAGCATGTGTATGTCAGATTTTTATGTGATTCTGACTACTACAATTGATTATATACATAATTTTGTAATTCAATTGCGACTCTGGGATATATTTTGGTTTTTATTGTTTACTTTTCGTTGTTTGGATACAATAAAAAAAGCTGCCGATGTATTGTTCTGAGCATCCGTTTCCTAAGAGGCATGTTTTGAGGTTACCTAAAACTTTGTGATGAATTTTTTTGTGAAACATTTTCGGTATGTTTTCATCTACTACAATGTATAGTACCTTTGTGTTTTTGACATGGTCAGGATGATGCGGGGTACATAAACTGTGTATTTGTTGATCGCTGATCGTTAAGAAGACATCTTCCCTCTGTTCATGTTCCAAAATTAACTTGATTGAAGAGTGAAATGTTATCAAGAACTAATTAAATTTTTTAAGGCTTTAGAGTCAATGGTTCGAATATCCAAATATATCACCGAGGTATCTATATCATACTTCTGGAAGAAGGCCTGTTGTGTCTTGTCTTTACAAGTGCTCAAAGCTTTTGTTTCAAGTGTATTTATACGTACAACTACAGAAACCCGGTTGCCCTTAGCTACTCCCTTCTTTTGTTTGCAGGAATTATCTTCAAATCTAAAGAAGTAAAAATAGCTTGAGAATATAAAGTTTTACTTTCTGCGGATAGTGTCGAAACTGATGTTAGTATTTTCTCCTTGGGGAGAAATAAAATTTATGATACAATTTATACCTTCGTTTACGGGAATAATGTTTGTTTGTTTGTTTTTGAATTTCGCGCAAAGCTGCACGAG